TGTGCGTCCGTGTATGCGTGAGTGTATGCGTAATATACGTATGAAAAGGTTGAGGGGCAGGAAGTGAAGGGGGACTAGGTTAAAAATTAGGACGAATTGGGCTGTGCAAAAGGACTGGTGTGTGCAAGTATGATATGATAGGGTATGGTTTGTATGGTATGGTATAGTATGGTATGGTATGGTATGGTATGGTATGGTGTGGTGTGGTATGGTGTGGTGTGGTGTGGTGTGGTCTGGTAATTTAATTTTGAGAAAAGATCACTGTGAATGTGATGGCATTTTGTGATACATTTTTGCTATTAACAAGGGCGAATTTATTTCTATATTCATCAAAGTACGCAAAAGTTCGATATTCGTATTCGGGCGTGATCTTAAAGGGTTTATACGTCTCTTTTGACAATTCCCCAACACTCACCCACCCCTGCCCCCTTACACACATACTCACATAAATACACACGCACGCACGCATACACACACACTCTCTCTCACACACACACATACACACACACACACACACACACACACACACACACGCGCGCGCGCGCGCGCGCACATTCACTCCATCTAGGAGTTGTGATGAGTGATAACTCGCTCATTCAACAACTGCTTTCTCTCTATTTTCGACGTTTTGAGGAACAATTGGTAAAGGCATAGTGAGCCTAAAAAACAAAACAAAACAAACAAACATGAGTAGTAAACAAAAAGGAAAGAAAGCGTAAACAAACATAATAGTAAGAAAACAAACGTAAATAGTAAGCAACTTAACAAAAAGAGTAAACAAACAAACAGAAATAATTTTAAAAACCCAAACAGATATAATAAACTAACAAACAGAAATAGTAAACAAAACTTACAGAAACACTAAACAAGCTGAAATAGTTAACAAACAAAGAGACATAGTAAACAGACAGAAATAGTTAATTTTAAACTAACAAACAACATCGCAGGTCTGAAAAAGAAATGACGTGCTTTTATCCTTGGTTCTATTGGTGCCATGTATGACTACGAGGCTACAAGATGGGGTTCCGGGGCTCGAATCTCTAACCCAGTGCTTGCCAACCTGGGCGACATAACCCGGTAGTGCGTCATTTGGTAATTTTGGTGGACGGTGTGGATCACCCGGGTAGTGACAGACAATGTTTAATGCCCCGGATTGTCCTTCGACAAAGTGCGCAAGAACACCACACTTGACACGTCACAGCTCTATCATGCATTCATTATGACGCATTCACCAATGCACTTGCAAGTTGGAGTTGAGATTTCGTAGACACGACATTATGATGTCATAACATTAAGTGGCTGTTGGTTGCGTACAGTGGAGGGGGGGGGGAGGACTTTATTTCTGAGACAGACCTCGTACATGTAATATTAAGCTTCTTAAAGGTAGTAATGAAACGACTCGAGGCCATTGTGGAAGAGGTGCTCGAAGGAAAGATGTGGGGCAGGAGAGCCAGGGGAAGACAAAGAACACTATGGATGGACAAGAGAAGAACATAGACTGGATAATGGCAGAATGTGCGACGGCAGCTCGCGACCGTAAAGGATGGAGGGTGATTACACGTCAACCTCAGAGTCAGAGATGACACCTCCTGGTATCGAGGTACAGGTGCTAAGAGTGGGCACTGGCTATAAAAAGGGTTACTTTCCGCTCTCTCGGCTCTGTCCTATCAGGGCTTGGTGTCATTTTGATTTTCTGCTCTAGAGTAATGTTTTTAAGGCTAGCTGTTCAGATATATTTAGCCCAAATTTTTCATTGAAAAATTATTGCAGTTTCTTAATCTTCAATATCGGTTGCACGAGCATCATTTTTTTTCTTCGAGCTACAGAGTCTAAATGTTACACACAAAAAAAGTAGAAGTATGAAGAGACAGAAGGGAGGTACAATTGTTAAAAGAATGAAACAGTTCTTCCTCTCTACAGAAAACATTTAATTTGCCTTCTGAACTCGGAACATAATTTAAACAGATTGTGGAAATTTTTCTGCTCACATCTGAGCGTTAAAACCTTAGCCATGCCACACTCACCTTGTGTTGAAGATTCCCGGATCACGAAGAACTCGTCACTCTGTCACACTGTCAGATGATGGCACCCAAGTCAGAGGCATTGGGATATCTCCTCCTCCCTCTCTCACTCACTCCTCTCTTTTTTCTTTGTCCTTTTCCCTCTCTTCTTTCCTTTCTTCCTCTCTTCAGTCTATCCAAAGTTCTGAATGCTACGAAGTCCACGGAGAACACATAGAAACACTCACCCGCGAAGTCGTCGCTCGCACGCGCGGATGAACCTTAGATGTTTGGGTGTTATTGTATGTGGTGAGCGAGCGGTGATGGTCGTGGGTGTTATTGTGTGTGAGTGAGCGGTGATGGTCGTGGGTGATATTGTGTGTGTGAGTGTGAGCGAGTCGCGATGGTCGTGGGTGTTATTGTGTGTGGTGAGCGAGCGGTGATGGTCGTGCACGTGAGTCGGGATGACGGAGAGACGGAATCATGGTCAGGTGAGACGGCTGTCCTGTGGAGGGAGTGAATGGGGTGGGGATTAGTACATAGGTAGTAGAGAGGGGAAGGGTTGGTTACGAGATTGTGGGGGTGAGAGGGGAGGGGGATTGTAGGAATGAGAGGGTAAGAGGAGGGGGGAGGAGGGGGGAGGAAGGAATAGTGAGAATGAGAGGAGAGGGGGAAGGTGGGAGAGAGGGGGAAGGGGGATGGTGGGTGAGAGAGGGAAGGGGGGATGGTGGGAGTGTGAGGGTAAGAGGAGGGGGGTTGTTGAGAGTGAGAGTGGAGGGGGGATAGTTAAAGGGGAGAGGGAGGGGGAATGGGGGGAGTGATAGAGAAGGGGGATGGTGGGAGTGAGAGGGTAAGGGGGGATGGGGAGAGTAAACGTGGAGGAGGAATAATTAAAGGGGAGAGGGAGGGGGAATGGGGGGAGTGACAGGAGAAGGGGAGGGGTTGAAGAGGTGGTGCATGAGAGAGGTGAGGAAGGGGTTGAAAAATGGTGGGATGAAAATAAAAGGCAAAAGTTAGGGGTGGATGTACAGTGCAAAAAAATGTGCATATTATGTGTGTGTTTGTGTGTGTTTATAAGTATGCCCGCGCGCGCGCGCGCGCGCGCGCGCGTGTGTGTGTGTGTGTGTGTGTGTGTGTGTGTGTGTATGTGTGTGTATGTGTGTGTATAAGAGATAATTTGTTTGTCTTTGTGCGAGTTTTTTAGTTTCAGACTTTGAGAATGTGGACAAGTTTTTAAATTTAAATGTCAAGAATGTAATTGTTTCGTCAAGTTGTGAGGTTGAAAGAAAAAGTAATGAATTTTCAAGACCTGTATGAAAAGGCAAAGCATTTATTACACATTTCCGCCAAGAATATTTTTATAAGCTATTGAAATCGCTTGCGAATGTGAGATCTTATAATGAATAAATTCTATATATTACTGGGAGCAGGTAGCAGCTACATAATACTTTCATAATTGATTTCTTGAAATAGATTTGGGATCTATATTGATTTAACTTGTTTTCTTGAAATAGATTTTGGGCCTGAAATGATTAGATTTTTGGGTCTATATTGATTTATCTTGTTTTCTTGAAATAGATTTTGGGCCTGAAATGATTTAACTTGTTTACCACATCGGAGCTGTTTAAGAGAGAAAAGAAAAGGAAAAGAGATACCTATAAACAACATGAAGTGACACATAGAAGATGGCATCGAGTGGGATATACACATTGAGAAAATTGACGACAAGTATAAACGGGATTGTGATGAGGTAGATCTTGCAGTGCCAGATGACCGAAGTCTGTGAAAGGAGAGAAGAGAAGAGAAGAGGAAAGGGGAGATAGAGAGAGAGAGAGAGAAAGGGGGAGAGAGAGAGAGAGA